AGAATGCTGAGTGCAAAAGAGAAAAGATGATAAACACACATACAACCCTCCCCAGAAAAGTGAAAAAAGCCCACTTAGTAAATCCTTCACAATCTGGCTCCAGAGTTTCCTCCCTTGCCAAGAGCCCACACATAGGCTACTGCCCTGAGAACATACATCTCTAGCTGATTCTGTATCAAGGTCTCAACCTCAGCATTACACATATTACAAACCCAGCAATTCTTTGTTTTAGGAAGCTGTGCTATGTGTTTGAGCAATGTTTAACAATATCCCTGATGTCTGTCCACTTACATGCCAGTAGCATGCCCCAACCACCCCCAAGTTACAATAGTCAAAAATGTCTCCACATATTGCTATACAACCCCTAGAGAGAGAGAATGTGAAATCACCTTCACTTGAGAACAACTCCTCTATTCCCTTGTAAACACTGTTTCCTCTACCTGAAATAATTTCCCCTATCACTGCAGAAAACTCCTACTCACTTTTCAGATCCGTCTTACATGTTCCCTCCAATGCAAAGTTTTCTTTCAAAGTCAAAGTTAATAATTCCTTCTTCTTATACCTCTCACTTTCTCATTTAGTTACATAAAATGCATGTATGTTCTTCCCCCCTCTATATAATGAGAACCTTCATCTTATTTATTCATTGTATTTTTATCGGCTTTATTACTAAATGATTATAAGTCTTCTATAAAAGCATCCATGAGATAACCCTCCAATTGACAAGGAAAATCTAGCTCACAGATTGATGTCTCACACTGAGCAATATATAACCCTCCAGCTCTGTCTTTATATGTACATAATTATTATTGCTGCCTTTGCTCCTGGGAAATGGAAACTAAATAATACTCAACTTGAGTAAACCAAGGTCGTTGGAATATCTAGTTCTCTGATGTTTATATTTGGTCTTTATTTAGATTTACCTTTGAATCACCCATTAGTCAATACATTTTGCCATGAGAGTTGTTCCAAATTCTTTTCTGTGAATGTGAACAGGTAAAATTTAAGAACACGGAAATACAAAATGTTTATACCATGAAGACTATATTTCAAATAAAAAAGAAGGATCCAATTATTCTAATCAACATTGAACAATAATTTCCAACATGATTCTACCTGTCCAATTATTTCAAGACATGTCATAAAGTTTCCAAAGAAAAACTTAGAAAAATCCTGGCTTCATTTTGTGTGTGTATATATACACTTTATGCATTTAGATGATATGTATATAAGCCAATACTTTTCTGGAAAAAAGGTGAAGAACAAGGAGCCTTGAATATCAAACAACAAAAACAACAGCAAAATAACAGAATATCATACTCCAAAAAAAGCTGCAAATCATAGACATGGAGAAACCTCCAGAATATGCTGTGCCCTGAGGCTTGTTTCCCTGTATCAGCAGCATTTGTAACCTGAATTATCCACATCATTTTTTGGTCTTGGCTGCCATAGCTTAAAAAAACAAAATCGCAGCAATGCTGATTTCAAGGTACTAGTCCTAAATTTCCACTGAAAGTAATAATTTTAATTCACAGTTTTTGTACAATAACTCTGGGTAAAAAGACATTTAATTTCATGTCTATGGTCAGCTCATCAGGCAAGGCAATTAATTAATCAGGAAAGCAGTATCCACCTCTACTGGACTGGAGAAACATCACAGAATAAATATGCAAATCCAACACCCTCATGGCTGACAAGTTTCTATTATTAAACTGCGAACGTGTTTATTTCCCCCACAATAGCTGGATTTCTGTCTTGAATACTCAGTGAGCCCTGCAGTGATTAGCTGTGATGACTAGGTGACAGTGAGGACACTACTTGAGAATTTGCATCTGACAGATCACTGACACACAGTCACAGCTCTTTTTCTTCCTTCTCTTCACTTAAACAGGAACCATGCAATAGGAAAAGAACTGGAGCTATTAGAGATTATTCAGGTTTAATAGCACACATCCTTTTAGCTGGCGGTTAGAACAATACACAATGTGGCAGAGTTAAACAGAGGCATCAATTATGCTCTCAGACCTGTTAATATTTTTGACAATATTTAAATAGCACATCCCTTCAGGGCATGGCTTTTTTGCCCTCTCAGTTACACACCTGTCAAGTGTTTAATTTGCCAAAGGGAAACAGTTTGATTTCTAAGCGCAGTCTTAATACTGAAGAAGCAAATTGGAAAAATTACACATTATTGAATAGAAGTAATGAGAAGGATCTGAGGGGAACAAGTAGTTGGCTTAATTCAACATGGCATGTCAGCATCTGTCATTAACGCAACAATATGATCATGTTCTCCAATATGCTGCACATACCTCGGGCTTTTCAATTATTCACTCCTTTTGCTTTCTAAAAGGTAGGAGAAATGATGGTGGAGTAAAGTTGAAGGAGTCAAATTTTTTGGTAATACTAAAAAAGATGGAGACAATAACTTGTACCTGTTATGCACATAAAACTATACATCTAAAACATAATGCAGGTGGAAGATAATAAGTAAAAGCTAGCCAGCAGTCAGACTGGTGTCGCTACTGGTTTAAAAGCACAAATTTAACTCCTAGGTTCATTAATATTAAATAACAATTATTTATAAATTAGCAGTGGGTAAACTACATAGAAAATTTAATTCTAGCATGATGAAGCCTATAATATTTATGTTTAAACTTTAAAATGGAAAACAATACAAGGTTTTAAAATTTACTCTACTCATGTAAGAAAAACACTGGTTCCACAAACACATGAAATTGAGTTAGTCAGAATGAAGAATGAAGCGAGGAGTCACAAAAACTGTGAGAGAAATCAATGGTATTTGCCAAAATTAAACTCTTGACTTACAGGGGCCAAGTTTCTACCCCTGCGGGGAAAAAAAGATGTGAGACAGGCCGCAGAATAAAAAAAAAAAAAAAAAAAGGGAGAAGACTGTACCTCGGGAGCCAAGAAAACCGAGTTCTAGTTCTGGCTCTGCCCTTACAAGCAAGTAACTACACCTCACTAAGTAGTTGAAATAAGCAGGGTATGGGCCAGTTCGTTTCCTGGGTCCCTTTCAGTATTTGAAGAGACCAACTAGCCAAAAGTCCAAAGGCACGTGAGACATGCCCATAGAATTTCCAAACCTCACAATGTACTGAGTCTTGAAATATATCCGCATCTATCACTAATGAACAAGATCACACTCTCTTTAGTCGCAGACTGTCTGGCTTGATAACATTTTGCTCAAGGGTTTCCAGGGTGATTTCAGCTGAATCACAAGGGACCCAAAGTTTCGGAGCCCATATCCAACTTCTATTTGGAGATGGTAGAACAGGGTCAACAAGCAGAGCCATTTCTGCCCTCCTTTTGGAGCTAGCAGGGATATTTCCAGTTATGTCACTGGATTAGTGGTATTTCCTAACACACTAGTACTTTTTGTTTCAATATTTCCTCTCATTCTATTCATATTTTCATATAATATAATAGGGGGAGAAGATACCTGTTCAACTTCTTCACTGTCTCTGAAAAACCAGATAATCGTCCTCATCATAATTACACTTCTATTCAGGACACTGATCTCTCTAAACTCTTGCCCATTCATTCTGAAATGGAGTACCTGAAATCAATCTTTACAATAACTTGCAAAAAAAAAAAAAAAAAAACTACATATAATAAAACACACCTTTTTCTTAAATCATGATCATGACTTAAAATCACTAAGCAGACATTCACTAGAGAAGACTATTTTTTAAAATTCTTTCTTTCATTTCCTTTTGCTACCAAAATATCTAGATTAAGAAGTGATGTGACATTAAATAAATTCCTTCCCTATTGCTACTATTTGTTCTTTTTGCATCTGGCACATTTGTTTTTAACTAGAGCTATTCTTTCACTGACCTATGAAACTAGTCTTCAAATTTCATTTTTAACCTTTTAATAAAAGGTAAAATATCTGTTAGCAATCCATCTATAGTAATTCAATTAATGCTAAAACCATCAGAATGAAAATTAACTTAGGTTGAAAGCATGAGGAGATTGACTTGAAACAATGTAAGGATAAAAACCATTTTAAAAACATTTTGTTAAAAAACCTGAGAAATAATTATTTTTTTTTTAATTTTTTTTTTCAACGTTTATTTATTTTTGGGACAGAGAGAGACAGAGCATGAACGGGGGAGGGGCAGAGAGAGAGGGAGACACAGAATCGGAAACAGGCTCCAGGCTCTGAGCCATCAGCCCAGAGCCCGACGCGGGGCTCGAACTCACGGACCGCGAGATCGTGACCTGGCTGAAGTCGGACGCTTAACCGACTGCGCCACCCAGGCGCCCCGAGAAATAATTATTAAATTAAGTTCAAAGAACATCTAACTTGAGTGCCCATTCTGTCATTGCAATGTTTCGATTTTAATATAAATGCTAGGAAATTTTAAAGCTCTTAATTTTTACAGAAAAAAAAACAGTGTTACATTTAGAAGTTCTAATGTTTATCACCATCTGATGCTGTCATTGAAGCAATTGCTACTTACACTCTTAAAAGAAGTGAGAATTGCAATTCCTCTAACTGATGACAATGTAATTATTTCTTTTACTGTCAAAATAGAGGTGATTTCCCTTCCTCACACACCTGATTACACATGCAAATCCAGGCTTATCTGAAATCTCATAAGCGTGCTGAATGTCTGAATCTGAAGACACAGGATCAGGTGAACAAAAAGTCTTAATGGGAAGGGAAACCAAGTCTACGGCCATCTACCCTACACTTATTTTTATCATCCCCTTCTCCTGTAAGGACTCACACTTCAGCATCCACACAGCTTTCAACACAATGTCATATCATCTACAATATACAGCAACAACCATTACAAAAATAACTAGGGGGGGTGAAAAGTCACAGTGAATCTGAATGTCTCATTTGGAGGTTTAAATGACTTCATTAACTATTCATTAACACATTCAAAAATCAGCCTTTTAGAAAAACACAAGACTTTCACGAGATCCTTGCCATGAATGCCTGTTTCAGGAGCATCGTGTCCTACCTGGTCTTTCAGCTGCTGTACTGAAGTCTGAAGGTTCAGAATCTGACTGAAGAGCGGGCTCTGCAAGACTGACTTTAGAAGGCTCAGTTTGTCTTCATTTGCTACATCCCCGCGTTCTCGCAGCTTGGCTTGTAAACGCTCTGCGGCCTGCAGGGCCCGATTTTTGTCTAAATCAAAGGGCAGCAGGTCATTAACAAGATTCGAAAGATCCACATCAAACCATGCTTACAGAAATCCTAACACTACTCCTTTCAAGAGCATAAAATTGACTCAGCACAAAAGGGACTATCATATGTCCCTATAAATGTATCCTTCAAACCTTCAAGTCTCCAGTAAGACAGTCTGTGTGAAAGCAGAGAACTGGGTATAGTGTATGCTCCATGCAACTACTTGTAAACTATGGAAACTAATTCAGATGAAGTATAGTTGAATTCCAGTGCCAACCGTCAGCTCTTACACAAACTACTGAAAGCTAACCACTTTGTGATCTGGCAAATGCTGGTGTTATTACTTTTTAAAAGACATTATTTACATTCAAGAAAAATTAGAAATATAACCAGTAAGTGGATGCAGACAATGTCACTGATGAGCAAAACATCCAAAATATGACAGTCTCATATATTAAGGAACAAATATTCTATACTTGAGAATTTACTTGAAAATATATCACAACAATGTATAACCCTTCAAAAACACTACTTTTTTAAATGTTTTTATTTATTTTTGAGAGAGAGAAAGACACAGAATGTGAGCAGGAGATGGTCACAGAGAGAGAGAGGGAGACACAGAATCCGAAGCGGGCTCCAGGTTCTAAGCTACCAGCACAGAGCCCGATGCGGGACTCGAACTCACCAACAGCAAGATCAGATCTGAGCCGAAGTCAGACACTTAACCGACTGAGCCACCCAGGCGCCCCTAAAAACACTACTTTTTAATCCTTTAAATGTCTTTCCCTAAAATTAAATAGCATATTCATATAGGCATCAAGGCAAAATAATTCAAATATTTATCGATCACCCTATGTATCAGGCATAAAGTTGCAAAATAAGTATTTTGAATCAGTGTATCCCTAGTAACCCTACCTACCGGCCCTAATCCCTACCATTTTACATGCATGCTACTACCAGATGGTGAGTTTCTATGCTAAATAACAGTTAAAAACATCTCCCTTAGGACGCCTGGGAGGCTCAGTTGGTTAAGCGTCCAGCTCTTGGTTTCAGATCAGGTCACTATCTCACTGTTCATGAGATTGAGCCCTGCATCAAGCCCTGACAGTGCAGAGCCTGCTTGGGATTCTCTTTCTCCTTCTTTCTGCCTCTCCCCCATGCAAGCACACTTGCTCTGTCTCTCAAAATAAATAAACAAACATTTAAAAAACAAAAAATCAAAACATCTCCCTAAAACTATCTCTCACTCTCTCACAAATGAACCCAAATTTGTTTTAAAGGAATAGAGACTACTCAAATATATATTCTAATGGATTCATCATGGTAATAAGTGTACCTATTAACATTCATTTGCTGTATTATAGTAATCAAAGAGTGTGATCACCACAGACACTTTCCATAGCACCAAATGTGGGATTACACAGAAATGGGGAAATTAAGGCATGAATTATTATTGACCATGAGGTCACACACATACTCAAATTTAAACAAACAGGATTTACTCTTACACATAATTTTACAAGGTATAATAAAGACAGGAGAATTTTATTCTAGGCTTATTTCCCATGGGATCTCAGAATACAAATCTAGTATTAATTTCCATGTCAATTCTCAGAAAGTGTACAGATCAGTAATAACTTACAAAATAAAGATTGGAAGGGGACAGCTTAAATAATTCTGTATTTCCCCTTTGCTATCCACTTTTTTATGAGAGACTCTGCTTTGTGGACTAGTAGTCTTTATGGTGTGTGACTTTACCACAAAATGAGATGAGGGAAATACATACCCATGCATTTTCATCACTGGCACAGCACATTACGAACAAAAGTCATAGTCATGATCCCATCTATCACAAAGACAGCTCCTTCTCCTTTCCCTGCTACCTACTCTCATCCTACTCCCCAAACCATGCAGGTATGAAGGCACCAGCCACAATCATAAAGGCACCAGGGTGAAATTCAGATACCTTCCAATAATCATACCCAAAGACTTGCCTGGAAAATATGAGGCACTGGGCCATCAGACAAGGGATGGGTATACCTGATATACCTCAAACAATTTCTACAAACTAGCTTCTGTAAAACTAAAGAGCAGTGAAAAATAGACTAACACATGAATTTGGATATTTCAACCTAAATTTTCTCATGCAGAAATTAAACTGCCTTAAACTGTCACTAAATGTTTGTTACCGTTATTGTTCATCATCAACTTAAAAGCAAAGCTCAGTAGTATTTCAACTGCCACAAATAAAGCAGGCATTGAGCTTCTTTCAATATTAAAAGTACTGTTAAACTTTCTGGTGCTACCCATACACAACCATTAACCAGAAGTGGGTCCATTAAATCAACTAGGTGTACATTAGACTACGGTTTCATTAAATTTCTCATAATTGGTAGAACGTTTCATATGGCTTTATCTTTTGCCTGAAAATGAGGTATTTTTATAACACTTCAGATTAAATCATCCAAATACAGAAACACATTACCCTGGTATAATTCTAGTGGATACAAACTTGTAAAAACTTTAAGTCAAAATCCTGCTATGTAGAAAAACCACTTCAAAGATCCCAATGGAAAAAGGTTTGATTTTTATAAAAATAAGAAAGAATAGGGGCACCTGGGTGGCTCAATCAGTCAAGTGTCCCACTTGAACTCAGGTCATGAGCTCACGGTTTGTGAGTTCGAGCCCCACGTCAGGCTCTGTGCTGATAGCTCAGAGCCTGGAGCCTGCTTTGAATTCTGTGTCTCCCTCTCTCACTGCCCCTCCCCCATTCATGCTCTGTCTCTCTCTAGAGAATAAACATTAAAAAAATAAGAAGAAGAAAGAATAGGTCTTACCTATAGTTTCTAACATGTTTTTCCAAATTTCAGCGTTCTTCTCTACAATGATTTTAAACAGCAACTAAAACAGAACTCTGGGGAGAAAAAATAAAATGGAATGGTTATGTTTTATCACAACTTTAAAACTATATACTTTAAAAAGTACTTGATGCTACTATAATTCCTTTGATCATTAAAATCTTGTTGATTTAACTTAAGATAGTTTTCTATGTAGGAAAAAGTAATCATTTTTGGACTTACTCAAAATTACAGTTGCAGGTAACACTAGCATAGTAAAGTAAAAGGCATACAATCTGTTTTAAATAGGGTGATAGATGTACCCAAAATATTTTAATTTAATGTTTATTTATTTTATTTTTTTTAATGTTTATTTATTTTTGAGAGAGAGAGAGAGAGAGAGACAGAATGAGAGTGGGTTGGGGCAGAGAGAGAGAGAGGCACAGAATCCAAAGCAGGCTCCAGGCTCCAAGCTATCAGCACAGAGCCTGACTCGGAGCTCGAACTCACGAGCTGTGAGATAATGACCTGAGCTGAAGTCGGTTGCTCAACCGACTGAGTCACCCAGGTGTCCCTATTTATTTTGGAGGGGGGCAGAGAGAGAGAGAGACACACATAGAATCCAAAAGCAGGCTCCAGACCCCAAGCTGCCAGCACAGAGCTACGGGCACAGAGCCTGACACAGGGCCCTAACCCACAGTCTGTGAGATCGTGACCTCAGCCAAAGTCAGACACCTAACCAACTGACCCACACAGGCGCCCCCAAAATATTTCTTTAAGAACGTCTCAACACAGCCCACTATAATCATGGATTCACTTACAGATTCTCACCCACAGAGTAAGGACATACTTGGCTTGGCACGGGAAATTCTGTGGGGAAGAACATTAAAACTTAAAAAGCATAAGTTGTGATATTGCCCTTGACTACTCATAGTCTTAACTGGGGAGACAATACACGCATACCAATTAGAAATGAACTATGTGAACCACGGGGAGCTAATACATTAAATCATGAATGAAATGCTGAATAAAAGAGAGCACAGTGTTAAATGGAAGAAGGGTTTTCAAAGGTATTTCAAAATACCCTCCTGATTATAATATTCTCTTCTCCCTCAATCAAAATAAACCTTCTCGACTCCTTCAACTCACACAGACTCATCTTTCTCTGAAAATACTTACCTAGACTCTTTAAAGTACCAGCTACAGATTTCCAATGACAATGTCCATATCACTAACCACATCTACTGTTTGCTAACCACATCTCCTCCAACAATTTATAAATCTTCTCCTTAGTCACACCTATCCTCTGCCTTGCAGAAAACCCCCAGCCACTCCTTCAAGGGAGAAAAAAAAATCTACAACCAGACTTCCTCACTTTTGGAAGATGAAACAGGATTTGTCTGAGAAGGAACAAGCCATCCCTGTTGTCTAACAGAAAATGCATCCGGAAAAAACGAAGTATGTGACATACATGAGCAGACATACAGACCACCAACGCTTGTAATTAGCTCTGTGTGATAACAGGGAACAGTTCTTATCGACTCTCCTTGCCCCAATTTAGAATATACTATTTAAGCCATCAATTCCACTTCAAATAGTCAAATAGCTCAACTACTAGCACTTGTTTTATAAAATGCCCTGGTGTCAAATGAGAACACCAGCTCTAATGTGGAGCTGAACCCTAAATCACAGTACAGGCCTGTGCCAGGGGCCCATCATCCAAACCTCTGTTTCCTAGAAAACTTAATCAGTGGGTATAGTGTGATAAATGAGATAAATAAGGTATACAAATTTCCAAGAGTATAACTCATAACTATAAAATATATATTCAGGAACAAGGCTGAGCCCATACAGGTGAGCATTTATGCACTGCATGGTTTCATGGGGAAAAATACAGGGAGATCTCTAAAATAAGCTCGTCGTATTTTTATTCTAACTTACAAGGACACTTCATACAATAGTATACTATTAGGTCCACCCTCAAAAACTTACCAACTTCTGACAATTAACAAATAAAAGTAAAGATACCCCAATATAAAGAAGGTCTATAATTGATATATGTCCAGGAAGAAGCATGATAGTAATGAAACTGCATGAACTAGTGAGTCTGATAACCTGAATTAATATTTCAGCTTGACCATTTACCAGCTATAGGTCCTTGTTAAGTCACTTGTCTATCTTTACTGAAGTAGAAAACTCTAACCGCAAATGAGTGATACTCAAAGTTTTGAAAGGAAAAAACTATATACACGAGTCTTTGGTATGCACAATAAAGTTAGCTCTATCTTCTTCCCCCTTTAAAAAATTAACTTTGAAAGACAGGCAGTATTGATGACGTGGAACGGGTGGTAGCCTGTGGATTTACAGACCCAGTGATCTATGAGGAGTCTACAGAGAAAGTACAGAGTAAGCAGTTCCCTACTGAGAAAAACACTGCCATTCCGAAGTTGAACCTCAAGTCAGTTATGTGGAAAGAGAATTACTTTCTTTTCCCCAGAGCAACTCTTATCATAAAGGATTAAAAAAAAGAAGAAGAAGGGGCGCCTGGGTGGCGCAGTCGGTTAAGCGTCCGACTTCAGCCAGGTCACGATCTCACGGTCTGTGGGTTTGAGCCCCGCGTCAGGCTCTG